CTAACGGTTTGAACCCCCCTCCCCCTCCCTCGCCGCTGGCAAACGACTCTCCCTCTTCCCCCGCTCCGGACAGTGAGACAGCGGTGGGGACAGTGGGGCAGTGATGGGGACAGTGGGACAGTGGTGGGGACAGTGGGGACAGTGGGACCGTGGTGGGGACAGTGGTGGGGACCGTGGTGGGGACTGTGGTGGGGACAGTGGGGAGTGCGACAGTGGTGGGGGCACTGGTGGGGACAGCGGGGACAGTGGTGGAAACAGTTGGGACAGCGGGACAGTGGTGGGCACAGTGGGGACAGTGGGACAGAGGTGGGGACGGTGGAGGTGGGGACAGTGGTGAGGGGACAGTGGAGACAGTGGTGGGGACAGTGGGGACAGTGGAACAGTGGTGGGACGGTGGTCGTGGGGACAGTGGTGAGGGTGGTTAGGGGGACAGTGGTGGGACAATGGGACAGTGGTACAGTGGGGACAGTGGTGGGGACAGTGGGACAGTGGTGGGAACAGTGGGGACGGTGGTGGGGACAGTGGGGACAGTGGGGAGAGTGGGACCGTGGTGGGGACAGTGGCGGGGACAGTCGGGACAGAGGCGGGAACAGTGGGGACAGTGGGACAGTGATGTGGACAGTGGGGACAGTGGGACAGTGGTGGGTACGGTGGAGGTGGGAACAGTGGTGAGGGCTTGGTGAGGGCAGTGGTGAGGACCCAGGAGTGGTTTGCCGGCGGCGAGTATAGGGGAGGAAGTGGGGGGGGGTCGAACCGGTAGTGCCCCCCCCCGCTGGTTTCCGGAGGGGGGAGGGTTGGAGAGGGGGGGGTTGCCGGGGGAGGGGGGGGGGAGGGTTCGAGCAGGGGGTGGGATTTTCGGGGGGGCGGGGGGGACCTCGGGTTCCGGAGGAAGAGAAGAGGGGGGAATTTTCTACAGCAAAGCGGCGGTGGATCACGCTCTCTCAAACAATTATCCGCACCCTGTCATGTCTGAAGCCGCCTTATTCGTTCTCTCTGTTCGGGGTGCATTGTCGACAAAGTTCCATCTCGGAGCATGAACCAAAGAAGGGCGGATCCCAAGGCAGGGCGGACAAGCACGTCGGGCGGGTTGTTGACAGTTTTCGGCCCCGGGGGGGACGGGGACCGTCAACGAACTGCTCGGGATGGGAGTCTCGGCGCCGCTCGGGCGTGAGCTTCTCTCTTCTGGGGGGCGAGGCCAGCGCCAGGAAATCTGGGCCGTGCAGGAGCAACTTGGATTAAGTCGGGCCGGTCTGGTCCCCCCACGGGCATTCTCGACGAAAGATAAAAGATACCCCCAAAATAGGCAAATTATCCCGGCAAAGCAACCTAACAGCGATGTGTAGGAGCATATCTGGAAGCATTCCCCTTAAGATTCAGATGATAATCCAGTTGTAGAATTCTGCTGTTCTCGCAGTCGTAGTCGCATTCGCGATGACAGTCGCAGTGGCAACGGCAGTCACAGTCACAGCCTCAGCCTCAGCCTCAGCCTGCCTCAGCATCAGCATGCCTCAGCCTCAGCCTCAGCCTGCCTCAGCCTCGGCCTCAGTCTGCTTCAGCCTCAGCCTCAGTCTGCCTTCAGCCTCGGCCTCAGCCTCAGCCTGCCTCAGCCTCAGCCTGCATCAGCCTCAGCCTCAGCCTCAGCCTGCCTCAGCATCAGCCTGCCTCAGCCTCAGCCTCAGCCTGACTCAGCCTCAGCCTCAGCCTGCTTCAGCCTCAGCCTCAGTCTGCCTTCAGCCTCGGCCTCAGCCTCAGCCTGCCTCAGCCTCAGCCTGCCTCAGCCTCAGCATCAGCCTGCCTCAGCATTCAAAATGTGGCCCGGGACTGGAGTTCTGGGAACTCGAAGAACACGAAGTGGCCTACAGTTGGCTCCGGGCATTCAAAATCATGCGCAGGAATGGAGTTCTGGGAACTCGAAGACCACGAAGTGGCCTACAGTTGGCTCCGGGCATCCAAAATGTGGCCCGGGAATGGAGTTCTGGGAAATCGAAGAGCACGAAGTGGCCTACAGTTGGCTCTGGGCATCCAAAATGTGGCCCGGAATGGAGTTCTGAGAAGTCGAAGAGCACGAAGTGGCTTACACTTGG